ATATATATATATATATATATATATATATATATATTAATTTAAATTATTTAAAAAGAAAAACCAATAGAGGTATCCTACTTAGCGGTTGGAAGACATTCGTAAACTGTTGTAGGAGCCGCTGGACCTCTGTTGGAAACTTTGTCAACTCTAAATCTCGAATCTCTCTAGTGCTTTGTAACTCCACCAAATAACTCAGTCTTGCTCCCCGAATCGACTTTACTATGGTTTTGAGCGACGCTATGGTTTTGCATAAGCCAACATCTCTTCTCAGTATCACATTCGTACCCTTCACTTGGAACTCCATCGTTAAGGACTTTCAATCCACCATCATCTCTCTCAATGTTCGCAGCCACTTCATCCACAAAATCACATCTGTGCTACCCAAATCTAAAGGAAGTAAGTCTTCTACTACTTGTACGCCATGTAGTGTCAAAACCAACCCCTGCAAATTACTCGACTTTTCTCCACCTTCCCTGTCCCCATCACGACGTCGAAGCTCCCTGTAGTCACTAGCTTCAACCCTAGCTTCCAAAACCTGATTTGAGATAAAGTTATGTATGGTCCCACTATCCAACAACATCACAACCGGTTGTTTCCCGATCCATCCACTCACCTTCATAGCGTGATTTGTGGTAGGTCCCACCACCGAATTGAGGGACACCTCCGCCGCGTCCAAATGCAGATGCTCCATCTTCGCAGCTTCCTCACTCTCGGTATCCTCCTCCTAAATTAAAAGCACCTAAAGAGCGCGCTCCTTGCAACAGTGTCTTGGGAATATTTCTCGTCACAGCGATAACACAATCATTTGGCTCTTTTGTCATGCACTTATACATCTATGAAGCGCTTGAGATTACCCCCGGATCGAGTTCCTATAGTCCTTCAGCGTTTCTTTCTGAAATGACACCATCTGGGTCCTCGGTGTCGTGGTTGTCACGGTGCTCTTGAAGAGTCCTCCGGTGTTGCCACCTTTGTCGGTCTTCTTCACCTGTTTCTTATCCTCCATCATTTGGGCGAGCTTCATCATTTCCCTCAATCTTCATTGTCTCAAGGGGCAGATGACTACTCGTATGTCGGGTTTTAGGCCTTTCAAAAAGTTCCCTTCTAGTTCTGCTGTAAAAATCCTCCCCAACCTCCTTGACAAGAGCTCAAACTTCTCCTGGTATTCCATAGTCGTCCCCTCTTAAGTCAAGGCATAGAATTGCTCATATAGGTCTCCTTCCTGAATAACACGGAAATGCTCCAACAAGCAATCCTTAAACTCCTCCCATGAGTGCATCGGATACCTTACCTCCATCCACTGGAATTACGCTAAAGCTTCCCCTCCAAGCATAATCCTGCTTCCATGAGCTTCTTTTCGAAGTCAACCCGTTGATTGCAAAATATCGCTTCACCTGATACACTCATCCATGTGCATCATCCCCTTCGAAGATTGGCATCTTCAGTTTCCTGACCCTTACATCTCCACCCTAACTTCCTCTCCCTCTAGAATTTCCCCCAATGTATCTAGAATGAAACTCCCTTTGTGGTCATAGGCATATCCCACTCCATATTCCCTTCTTCCTCCATCATACTCTTCTGTGCCCCTTCCAACATCCCTTCTCCAATTTTCGGCCCATCGCCCTCCATCGGAATTCTCCACTCCCCCTCCTCTCAGAGTCCTAATGGGACGCTTTTGTAGGTAGATGATGTCTTTTTCGTTGTTTTCTCGCTTGATCTCCTTCCCTTTTGACTTGCCAAGGATTCCATAAACAACTCTTAGTTAGGGTTTACAACTGGAGCGAACGGCACGGCCTTGATTGCATCTTCATGAGCTATTTTATCATCTGCATTTCTCCTATGCCTTCAAATCCATCATTCATTCAACTTACAATAAAATAAAATTTGTCCTATATGGTAGTGAACATTTCTTCTATTCGGATTTGCTCTAACTCTCCTTCTAGCGCATGAACTTTCTTTGTTGTCATCCCACCAAGATCTATGCTCTAATACCAATTTGATATGTCTCGCTACCAAAATCAGCAAACAAAACACAACGAAACGACAATAGATAGGTGGAAGAAATACAAGCAACGGTTGTTCTTACGAAAATTAAAGGAAAATAAGTAGGATACAAAGATGATTTACTTTCGAGAGATAGATCGGCTCTCCCACACCCTAGACATCGCTAAGAACACCATCAAAAGAAGAAAACATAGCAACCAACAAAATAATGCATAAAAGAAAACAAAACCTAGATTCCCCCTTAATAAAATCCTCATACAGCATTAGAAAATTTTCCTTCTAAACTTCCCTCCAAACTCCCCTCAAATTTTCCTCCTTGAGTATGTGATTATAGCCTAGTGGGCCCCACTTGCTCCTTTCCTTCCTCTGCCGTGGCACGGGATCGCTCGGCTGCTTCCTGAGAAAAGTACCGGCACTTGGCTGCTTCGCGTGAAGCGAATCAGCTGGCTTCTGCCGCGGGCCGGTTTTTTGGCAACTGACCAGTCTTGGATGGACCGGTCCGGTTCCAGGCATAACAACACACTAAGCAACAAACAAGTTTTTGTATTATCTATCCCCGGCTACCAACAATTCTAAACCACGAAAATTTCCAATTTCAATGCCCAAACATTTCAGCAGGCTTACAGCTTACACAGCCTAGTTATGAATGTTAGAGGGAAGTAGGATCCGTCTTATGCAAAGTAAGAAGGGTTAGTTCCCGAAATAAAAGTGGCCCAATTTTCATTACCGTGAACAGTTTTTAAAACTGCTGTTTCAGTTTTAATTATTTGCTGTGAAGGGAAGCAAAATAGATGGAAAAAATAATAAACATTTGGGCCCCTAAACCTATTCTCCTTTTAAGGAAATATACACCATCAATTGGAGAGTGAAAAAAGTTTAGAAGATTTCAAAATCAACGAGAAAAACAGATTAAAGCAACGACCAGCACGTAATTTACTTATTAATTTTCACATTCTTGTTATTTGATCAATTCTATGCTTGAAAAATATGTTTGAATCGAATCGAGCAATTCTATCAAGAGGATATCCAAAAAAATTGATCAGTCTCATTTAAAATGAGGAACCCATTAAATAAGATGAGCTATTGGGAACTAAGATTCCAAAGATAAGTAGCCATAAAGGAGGTTTCGTACCTAAGTTTACAGGCTGGATAGCTCCACAGGGAAGACTTTTAACGTTGACAGCTTCTCAATAGCAATGCTATTCAGAGACTCACATGCATGCTCGGATAGATTTAAATGTCCTTCATTGACTTGTCCCATCAATTCTTAGACTATTCACCAAAATCCTTTCCAAGGAGGTAGAGAAAATTATAATGAAATGAATGTCTCCTTATCTTTCGAATCTTAGTTCAAATGTCCTCTAGACACCAATTCAAATAGGTAAAATGATTATTAACAGCTGGTCCTTCATGTTGGGTTGCCAATGCACTCCTAACTGAACAAGGAAGATTAGCAAGGATTTTCATTGAGATTAAAATCACCAATAGATCAATATAGTTGTATTTTTTTTATCTGGAAAGTTCAACTCGATTCTTGAAAACTTCCAAGTAGATTAATTCATCAACAAGGGTCTTAGCCCAAATAATTATCTCCTATGTACCGTCTTTGACAATAAAATTCAATCGCACGCCTTCACAAACATCATAAATGAGCATTTTAGGTCCGGTATCAAGCCCACTGCCAGTTTCAAATTAGTCTACATACTGCCTTTGAACTTCAAGCAAACTTTAGGATAATAAGACATCAAATAAGGCTAGATTTCACAAAAAAAAAAAATTAGAAATGCATAAAATTTAAAAGAATCTGAAAAACATACTAGCTAGAAAGATTTTAAAAATAAAAATAAAAAAAAAGTACCAAAATAAGTCTGACGGGCTGAAGAAAATAGTAACACCAGAATCATATGATCTCCCCCCACGTCTTCCTCGATTGTCATCATCACTGTGAAAATGAAAAAGGCAATGGAATATGAAGATTAAAATGCATAGTTACCATGACAGCAAAAAAAGGAGGATCTAATATTTGATTTAAGAAAAGGTGGAAATACAAAGATGTTGGAAACACCTTCTGCTTGAAACAAGGGCAATTATTGTTGTGTATACCAGAACAATTGACATAATAAGTGCTGTCCCAAAAGAAACCCTGATTATGTACTCGCCTGCTCCCTAAGAATGAATGCAAGGTAAGAGGCATGTCAAAATCCTTGAGAGCAAAAATTTAAGTATGAGATACTAATTATTAAAATTTTCTAACAGGCAAAGGAAGCACCTTCAATTTATCCAGCAAAGGCTCGAGTTTCATTTGAAAAGATTTGGCAGCAAGTTTTGAACGATAATCCTTTGGGAAAACATAAAGAACATCGCCTTCATCTGAAACCTATGAATACATCTTGAAACAGATTTCCTTATGAGGAGAAGAGAAACAAAGAGCGAATAAATTTCAAGCACCTTGAAATTGAAATGTAACATGATTTTTAAGGAACCTTCTGAGGGAAAAAAAATCAAGTTTAAAGGGAAAAAAATACGTAATTGAAAAAAATATGTTGAAGAATACATAACACATTAAAAGCAACAAAAATGGAGCAGGCATATGTTCAAGCCATAATTGATCATCTAACAATTAATATAGGATAGTAACTATAGGCCAATGTCACACTTTTTGTAGAGACCGAACAATACAACAATGCCAAAGTGGCATGTAGGATATTCAATATCGGATCAAATATAACAATAATAAATCAAGCTGGAGGAAAAAGTAGAAACATAAAGCTTAGAGTGAGAAGTTTTAAGATTTGATTAGAATGCCAGAACATACAAGAATATGCCAATTATTGCATGTCATGATCACCCTATGAACCCCTATTTAAAGGCTTAGATCAAGGCAACATAAGTAAAATTACATACCAAACATTAACAGGTGCTTCTTGTAAGATTAATGAACTTAGCTAGTTTTTAACTATTTAATTATAAAAAGTATAAATACTGATTATCAAATAAGAGGAAAATTCATGTGAGCTCATCTGCCAGCTTCACTTAAGCTAGTCAAATTATGGCAAGTTGCTCTGAACTTGGACGAGTAGCTTTGGTAAGTTGGGTCAAATAGAATTTGTGGAAAACTGAATGTCCGCCAATTTTGTCTACATCAATGTTTCGCCAAACACAACTCCACATTTTTTAGTCACCTCATGAGACTCCATTGATCCATGTGATTAGTACTTTATAGTAATTCTGTAATTATTATTTTACCTACTTATCAATCCGCAGATTGTGATAATCATTCTTATCTGATTTTGTATGCCAGAACAAAATGCCCATTAACTTTCTCCAGTTCTTAAAATATCAAAGTTATAAGCTTTCTTTAGCATTTCTATAAGTCACAGCCTTCATTGTTGCATTGCATAAAACTTTCATTACCGCAAGTCTGTACTTTTCATCTAATCTTCCCATTTGTAGCCTTTATCGTACAGCCTTTTTTTATCCTTCCTCTTTACAAACAACTGCAACCATATTATTTCTTCCCATGGACCAAAAAATAGGCATTTTCCCTTGATCCTCTGATCACGTGGAACTGAAGCTGGCAACACAGATCCAATGGAAGAATGACAAAACAGTCGTGCAACTTATCATTTGAAAGGAAAAAATAACCTCCAGTGATCACAATTGATTTACACCTTTTAAGCGAAAAAGAAAATTGGGCCATTAATTTCACACCAGAACTCAACAAGGAGATCCTATATTCAATAATTGGGATGAATAGGAATCTATAGTGATGTCCCAATTATGGGACTATATGGTTACCTGAAATAAATGACACCCAAATGTTCCTTCTCGGCAAAAAAAAAATGGATAACCTAAATCAAATGTATAAGAAAGTTCCTGATACAGCCCAAAACTATACAGCCAATACCAAAATATCGGCTAAGAGGAGAATGGTCAACACATAATCATCCGATCTACAACAAGATTTGCAGGAAAAGATGAATCATTACCAAGGTATCAAAATGGAATATAATAAAAATGAAGCCCACATTGAAAGGATTATTTAGAAAGAGCAAATTTATAATTGGCTTGTTATATTAAATATCGAACTTGATATTGTACAATAACAACAAGAAGTCTTTATCCCACTAAGTGGTGAACTTGATATTGTACAATAACAACAAGAAGTCCTTATCCCACTAAGTGGAGTCGGCTCCATCAATCCTTTTTCTTCATTGTGTCCTATTGAGTGAGTTGGCTACATCAATCCTTTTTCTTCATTGTGTCCTATTGAGTGTCATATTTTCATTTAATTCTAATAAATTAAGATCATTTTAATACAACATGCCCAAATTTTTTTAGGTCTAACTCGCCTTTCTTAACATAAATCAAATCTAAAATAATTGTTCTCCCAACATGGTCATCAAATGATTGACATTTAATGTGACCAATAAGGAGATTATCTCTAATGTTTTCTACCACTAGAGCTACTCCAACCCTTTCACGGATATATTCATTTCTCATTTTGTCTATAATGTGACCAATAAGGAGACTGTCTCTAATGTTCTCTACCACTGGAGCTTCTCTTTTACAGACCAACATTCTACACCATATAGCATCGCAAGTCTCACCACTATCTTATAATTTTTTTCTTCGAGTCTAAGTGGTACTTCCTTATCACACAATATGCATGACGCATTCCTCCACTTCAACCATCTAACTTGAATTCTACTAATAACATCACCATCTATATCACAATAACTTTGAGCAAAGGGCCTGAGATATCCAAAACGTTCACTCATTTTAATGACTTGATCACCCATTTTTACAACCCCACCAAAAGAACTACTATTACAAAAATTACATTACATGTATTCAGTTTTAGATCTACTCAAACGAAATCCTTTAGTTTCAAAGTTGACCACCATAATTAAAATTTTTCTTGAACTCTCTCTAGTCTTATCCAAAAGAAGGCTATCATCAGCGAAAAACATACACCAAGGTATATCCTCTTGTTAATATCCTATAAGAACATTCATAATTAAAGCAAAAAAGATATGGGCTTAAGGATGATCCCGATGTAATCCAACTGAAATAGGAAAATAATTGGTCAATCCTCCTTATGTTCAAACACAATTAAGAGAACTATTATACATATCTTTAATGACTTGAAGGTAAGCAACATCAATACATTGCTTTTCTAGAACTCTCCAAACTACTAATCTTGGAAGAAGAATTTTGATACTGTAAAAGTAAAAAATGTCTTAGAAATGAGGATTTACCTTCCTAAATGAAATCATACCAATCATTCGGATGGAAGAAGGGAGAAGGGGAGCTATGATTGCTAAGAACAGCATAGAAGGTTTAACCCTATGACAAAGGCAATCATCATCATACCATGATTTAAAACCCTTGTAGTTCGATGAGCACACGCAGCCGCACCCAACAAAAATGGTCTATAGAAATTATTTATGAAGCACATATTGTCAGAAAAGTTTACAAAAGAAAATTGTTGGAAGCTTCATGGCAAGCCAAAAACTTGATAACATTAAAAGGAGAAGTAAATAAATAGAGGCATGAATATGCAACACATTGGAAAAAAAAAAGTAAGAAAAAGAATTTTCGATTGAATTTAAGAAATTCAAAAAATAAAAATAAGAAACAAGACTCTGATGATAAATACTTGTTATTTTGCATTCTCAAACATTGCCTCCTCTTCTCATGCTTTTAATGTATTAGAGATGCCCAATCCCAACTCCTAAGTAACGAATCCAAAAACTATATTTAACATTCTCATCATTAATGTAATAATATTATAAGAAGAGTTGAAATATTCCATAGTTTATGAATTGTCCTACGTCTTTGCATAACTTCAATGTGAAGTTATATTTTCATTCATATAAATGATGATGGTGGTAGACTGAATTGGTTGGACGTGTTACAAATCAGGAACTACAGAGTTGCAAAAGAGTTTGAGAGTTATAAAATTTATGGAGTCAAAACATTTAAAGAATGGAGTAACAAATCAAGAGCTGAGTTACCGAGAGGGAGTTAAAAAAGTTGGAAAAAGGGAATTCCAAATCAAAAGCTAGAGAATTGCAAAAGAGTTTTAAAGTTACAAATATTGTAGAAAGTTATGAATCAAGAGCTTAAGGATTACAAAGAACTAAGTGTTGTGTCAATTCCCTTATAACTTTCCTAATTTTCATTAACGTTATAAGTTTTGTAATGGATATTTAAGCTATAATACGTACAATGATAATATGAAATAATGATAATGTGTTGTTTTGTGAGATATTAATAGTAGCTTGGTGGCACTACCATAAGTAGGTTTGGTGAATTCCTTTAGTCAACTTAGTGGGTTATTGGGTTCAATTAAATTTAAATTTCAATCCCTTTATATTATTTGTTTATAAATTAAATTGCATTTTTTTTCATATTTCCACCAGTACTATCATTGTTTTGCTTGAAGGAAGTGGGTCAACCACTCCTTCATGTGGTTGAGAACATCCAATGTCTTATCAATCTTCCATCAGACGATTGCAATTACACATAACTACCATTATCAATCGAGATTTTAAATTTTCCTTCATCCATATCTCACACTCTATCTTTCAATTATTGTTTTCCACCTACAAACTTCTTTTATCCCTCTCAAAATGTTGACCCAGACTTTTATTGGTCATGATCTCTATCAATTTTGCCCCTGTTAAACCCATGAACTGGTAGTAATATTATAGTTCTTTGATATTTGAAACAGAATTTAGTCAAGTTGATATCACTAATTCAATTTCAAGAAATATTAAATACTAACATTAAAGGTGTACACTATAAAAGCAATATTCAATAATAGATGCACTCTAAGAGTGTCACAACCCGGCCCGGGAAAATAGAATTAACTAAAGTGAGTACGGACTGTGAAAGATATTTCTAACATTAATACTAATCCACAATAACATTCATATAAAAAAGAGTCAATAAATTGATGGTACACATGTAAGCAATCTTCTAATAAAACACATAATATAATACAGTCTAATACATTAATACAAGTAATACAGTAAAAGTGACATAACATAAAAAAAAATAAACCATCACCCATCCTCCACATACCCTCTCATGTAATAAAACTCTCCTATCAGACATCTACATCTAGAGGATCTTTTTCTAAAATAACAGTTAAATAAATGGTTAAATTAAAGTAATTCAATGAATAATTACTAATTTATTATGCATTAAATATTATACAAATGTCAAATATGATTTTTCATGAATAATCATGTTGGTCAAACAATTAAATTTTATTTATAAAATATGTATTTATCATTATCTCACTTTTCTTTAAACTAATCAATTACCATTTTTTATTTCCCTTCGTATTTTAATTTTAGAAACCTTATCACGAGAACCAACAAAATGTACCAATAAATGTACAACATTTATAATTTGTATCATAAAGATATGCATTTACCATTTGTATCATAAACATACGACATTATTATTTCCTTTAACTTTAACGGGTACAATAGCATCCATTACTAGTACCAAAAGGGGTAACTCCTAATAAACTTAACATTAATTTTTTTTATTTCCAATTATTTCATTCATTTAAATTATTACTTTCATTTATCTTTCATTTTAATGCAGAACAAAAGGCAAATGAATTGAAATCATAAAATAATTATTTCTGTTTCATTTAATTCTACCAATTGTAAATGTGCTTTTAATATGTATAAACAATGAAACATTTAAAATAAAATAACTGAATTTAATGCAAATAAAACAGTAATTAATCATTTTAACCTTTCAAAGACATCCTTATAAGATTAATCATCCACTTTACTTCCTCTTACTATCACCACCTCTTTATCTCAGCATATTTTGCACAAATCACGATCCAAGACCCTAATTCGTTGAATCAAATTTCTCTTAACCACTGATTAAATTCATTATATTTTACTAAATCCTACTTGCAGCCAAACAGCCCCTAAATCAAGCAGTTAAGATTACCTCATACCAAAGAATACTTGGGATTTACATAGACTTGATGATGGTAATAATCCATAATTCTGTTCATGAATAAAATCATTTCAAATAGCAACCATCTATAGATTTTCTTCACATAATTGTTGAGCATTTTATGCTCATTAGAAGGCCCCATAAACCCATAGAACCAAGTCATTATTTTTCTGATTTTATTTTTCTGATTTCTGGTGATAGAATTAGTATTATTCTCATGAACTTGCTAAAAAGAAAATTACAAAACATGCAAATATAAGCATACCTCCAAGAATCCATCAGTATCAGCGGCAATCGCCTGAAGAGCTCTCTCAGCCTCGTTTAACTTTAGTCCTGCCCTGCTCGACACATCTCCAATCGTAACCCTTCCTCCGTACGAATCAATGGCATCCATTGCCCGCTTCCGCACATCGGACGTCAGCTTATCCGTCTCCACTCGGCCACCCGGCCTGATTCCATTGGGCAACTGCACGCTCGCACGAAACGACGAAGGATATACCCTAATTTTTGATGAAATCAGAGAAATTCGCACTCTGCGAATGGTGGGAAGCAGAGAGAAGCGAAGACCTGCGGAAGGGACTCCGATTTGGGCCCAGCGTTTTGAGCGATGGGATGGAGTGGATGAGTCACATGAGTTGCGGGCAAGCCTTGCTGCGGTGACGTTGTTAGAGGTTGAAGCCATGGTTAAAAAGAGACTACAGAGAGCAGGAGATTGAACATTCGCCATGGATGGAGGGAGTAGCGGAGAGTTTGTCGTTTTTCTCCTTCGGTGCGCTTCCGGCGCAGAGGACGCGCAGAGGACGGCAGTGAGTGGCACGAATTTTCTCGAATGAGTTTTGATTTCGATCAGGCGAGCAGAATTTTTAATAAATAGGATATCTGTTAATTAATTTGTATTTCTTTGTAATATTAAATATTTTTTTATTTTTTAAAAAAATATTTAATAATAAAAAATATAAAATAAGACAGTTTTTTTCACACACCCCCCTATGAAGAAATGGAGCACATCTCCTCCACCCTTAGCACTACGATAGAAGAATAATATCTTGGTGAATGAGTTGAACAGTCTACTTGCTCGTTGTTCGAAAGCAACTCCTGTCGGGCTCGTTAAGCAACTCATGTTCGACTTGTTCATTAAATAAATGAGTCGAACACGTATAAGTTTTTTAAACTCGAATTGTAAACGAGTCGAACAAGAACAATTTTTCATTTGTTCGTGGAAATAAAGAAATTATACAAATTAATATATTATATATATTTATATTCAAGTTTAAATCATAACAACTCGTGTGTTTTTGTGGTTCTGTATATTTTATTTTATGAAGTTGGTGCAAGTTCGAATCCAATATCCTCATTTATTTTTTAAAATTAATTCTAATGAGCCAATTTTGAGCTGAAAGCCCGAAAAATGAAAAAAGAAATATTTAAATCGAGTCAAACACGGGCATACTATTCACTAGCCGATTTCAAACACAAGCTAAGTCTAAGCTCACTTAAGCTTAGCACGTTTTCAGCCCTAGTTTGGGCCAATTGCAATTGTTCGAGGAAGCAACTGTGAAGCTGTTGCTTTTCAAAAAATTGCTAAGGCTATTACAATTTATTTATTTTTAAAAAGTTTGACCGCACCTTTCTAGCAGCTACCACACTTTAACAGCTCAATTTGAAAAAAAAAATATATTGATAAGAGGGAGTCCAACCACTCACAGAGGAAGGAAGCCTGCTCCTGATCTATACTCAAATCGCAAGGAGAAACTTTTTTTTGAATTAATAGTGTTGATAAGAAGACGGGGTTATATTAGTATTTTATCATTTCAATGTTTTAATTATTAGTCCTAAAAAACATTAAAAAAATTTATATTTAAATATTAATTATGTTTTACCAATCGCAATTTACAATAATGATTATGGGGATGTTGTTTTTAAACGACCTTTGCTGAAAGGTAAAGCGCACTAGAACGAAACAAAGTCTTAGCGCCTGCAACATCATTTGGATATAGTGTTTAGTATGTGTTTTAGAAAAGTCGGACGTGATACATAATAATGTGGGTCGTGTTTCATCTTTCATTTATATTTGCCTTTTACTGCCCTATCTTGGGCTCTTCTCGTGTCCCGCTCTCCCCTTTAGCGCGAGCTCTTCACTATCGTGTTTTGCGCTCCCCAATCTCGAGATTCTACCCTAAAGTGGTGGCAAGGGTTTGCCTTTCTTCTCCTCTCCTTATCTCTTCCCTTCTTCGGCTTCGTTTAGTTCATCTGCACTCCGTCAACCCACGTATTCTCTACTATTATATGTTCTGTTATTTTGATTTTTGATCATTGTAGCTTATCTGGCCTCTATTTGGTTGATGATTTTTGGGTGGTTGTGCACTGGTGTTGAATTTTGCATGTTCTGTGATTTGTATATTGCGGCTTTTTTAAAGTGGTGGTGTTATGGTGGGTTGTTTTATCATATTGGCATCTTTATTTTCTATTCTATTTGATTGTTTCCTTTATGTGTGTTCTATTTGGTTTGTGTGTGATATTGTGTAAATGTTGATGTCTTGATGTGTTGTTGTGTTTGTGTGTGGAGGTGGTGTTGTAGATGTGTGGATGTGTGGAAGTGTTGGTGCGTGGTTGTGTATTGTGTGGATGTGTGGAGGTGTTAGCATGTGATTGTGTTTGTGTAGAGGCGTGGAAGTGTTGGTGTGCAGTTGTGTGTTGTGTGGAGGTGTTTGTGTGTGGTTGTATTTTGTGTGGAGGTGTTGGTATGAAGGTGTTGGTGTGTGGTTGTGATTTGTGCTAATTTCTTCTCTTGTCAAATATTTATGTTTTGTTTTTTCTATGACAATAAAGCAATAGTCAAGACAAAATAAGATGATTCATCAGCTATGTGGGATAAGAAAGTCAAACTCACATTTTGCGACATCTTTCTTAAGGAGGTAAAACTGAGAAATAGACTCACTACCTATTTTAACGATAAAGGGTGACAGAATATTATAAAAACGTTCAAGGAAATGAAGAGAAGGGAATATGATAGGATGTAGCTCAAAAATAAGTGTGATCATTTGAAAAATTATTGGAAAATTTGGAAGGAATTTAAACGATGATCCACGGGCTTTGGTTGGGATCCAATCAAAAAGACTATTGATGCTTCAGAGGAATTGTGGGCTGAGAGAATGAAGGCGATAACATATCCATGTATGACTTTCTTTTCCTGAACTATATGAACATATCCATGTCCCCTTATATTGCAGGTGGTGTCAACCGCCAAGAAATTCAAATTCAGTGGTATTGACCCTGATTTGGAAGAGAAGTTGGACTGTATGTTTCATGGGGTTGTGACAATGGGGAATAATGCTTGGATCCTTAGTGAGCAAGGGTTTGCAGGCATACCTGAGAATTTGGATGTCGAGCATGCAACTAGGATCAATGAAGGCCTCAGCCCAAAACCAATTAAAGTTGAGTCCACATGCAGGTCAAAGCGTCTAAGGGTAACGAAAAAGAAAAAAAGATCGGGCTACTTTCATTAGAAGACAAATTTTAAAACTGGTGGCTTCATGCACCAGTGAACCTTGAACTTCACTAGCGATCTTCATTGAACAAGTTATTAGAGTACTGGAGGCAAGTCCATAAATTTATGCGGACAAGTCGTTATATTTGTACTCCAAAAAGTTGTTTGAGGACCCAACTCCTAGAGAGCTCTTCATGAAGATGCCCCTTGCCCGTAGGGTCAGTTATATATGTTTTTTTATGACAGTAGGGATGCTTTATTTTATTTAGTTATCTTTGCACTATTTATATTTATTAGGGATGCTTTATTTTATTTAGTTATCTTTACACTATTTATATTTATTTCCAGCAGGTTTATAGAATTCATGATTTGAATGTTTTTTTTTCTTGCAACAATGTTAATGCCATTTCGGATGTTTGTCTTTCATTATACACTTTGCAATTCATTATTCAAAGTTTATTTAAGCTGTTTGATTCACATCTCTTACCTAAACAGAGCACTTGTTTAACATGAATTCATAATGAGAGAGACGTAGAAAGAGAATTGTGGCAGTAGTATGTTTGATGTACTAGCACTGCAACTCATATGTAGATTGGTCTCCCGACATAACATCATCTTGCATTGGTGATAAATGGGCTGGGGAGCTACTTGAAGGACACCCTACAAGATTCAATAACATATTTCTAATGTATAAACCATATTCATAGATCCTCTAAATGAATTACATAGAAGTCATGGACTTCATGGCTCGTCTAAGTTGATAATGAAAGAGGAGTTAGTAATAATCCTCTACATTTTGTCACATAATGAATTAACGAGAGAAGTGATATAGCAATTTCAACATGCATTGGAGACAATCAATAAATATTTTTCAGTGGGGAACGATCGATGGAACACATGCAGATGCATGTGTTTCTAATAATGAAATGATTGCATTTATTGGGTGGTGTGGATCACCAACACAAAATGAGATGGTTTTATGTGATTTTAACATGTGTTTTACTTTTGTTATGACTGTTTGTGAAGACAATACATGACAGTCGTATATTTGCTTTTGCCACAAGAAATTGAAAGCACAACTTCCCTCACCCACCTTTAGGTTTTTTCAACTATAAATTGTATTTAGATATTTTTAAGTTCATTACTGATTATTGTATTTGTGGTAGGAAAATACTATTTGGTCGATGTTGAATGTCTCTTACAAAGTGGGTATCTGAAGCTATTTTCGAACATCAAATATTACATTCCCGACATTGAAAGATCCAGTAATGTTGTTCAGGGTAGTAAAGAAATGTTTAACAAGTGACGCTCATTCTTACGCATTGTGATTGAAATAAAATTTGGAGTGTGGAAGAAAAAATGGTTCATACTGCTTGATTTGCCGACATATCTATTTGTAAAGCATGTGCAAATTATAGTGACCACAATGACTCTCCATAATTATATTCAACGACATCATTCACGCAATGACGTAGGCTTCAACATGGCTAATGATGATTATTTACATGTCCGTCCTGAAGCATTTGAATATCACATATGATAATCTATATCACAACAGAGGCAAAATCACATGAGGGTTACACCCAGGATGACAAAAGTACTGTGAAAATGATTGAATTGAGAGAACAAATTACAAACTCTATTGTTGCATGTTGAATGAATAGATTATATATAGTTTTTCTTATTGCTACTTTATTTATGAGGGATGGTGAAAGCTATTATTTTTTGTTGTATCAATGTTTTATCAAATCATTTAAAATTTGAAGATATTTTTATTTTTCGTTTCTTTGTATGTATTATTCCCCACTTAGATGGTCGAAGAGGCAACATGGATATAATATGGTATATAAATATTTATTGCATGTTTATTTTTTTTTTTATTTTTTTAGAGATCAATGACGATACATTCGATCTTAAGTGTTCTTCTAGATGACATTTTTGTCTCAACTGGTTCTTATAATATGCAAAATCTTAATGAAGACAACCAGATATCCTTTCATTTTTTTTAGTGTCTTGCTTTTCTGGATGAGATATTTTTTTTGTGATATGTATATGTGACACATTCGTGTTTTGAAGGCAACCAAGAACTTTAAAGTTCCATGGTAACTTAATGCCAGATACATAGCTACGAGACTAGTGATGTCAAAACAACTCGTTGTTGGCAAACAACTCGTGTTCGGCTCGTTAAGAAGCTCGTGTTTGGCTCCTTCGCTAAGTTAACGAGCCAAATATGAACAACACGAACAAATACTTGTTCGTTCGTGTTTGACTCAAAATATTTGATGAGTAATATTTAAAAAAAAAATTAACTACAAGGCTAGAAAGATTTATAATCAATTAAAAATATTAATTAAGAATATATAATAAAAAATATTATATTAGATTCAAATGATGTTTTAAATATTGCCTCAATCCTTAACATCTTATGACTACTTGATTAGGTTTGTCAAAATGACTCTTTGTTCGTGAACGGCTCGTGTTCAGCTCACTAAGTAAACGAGTCACGCTTGTGTTCTGCTCGTTTACACCTCTATACGAGACAGTTTTACAGGTGCCCACGGAGAATCACAGAGAACGGTGACTTTTTTTGGTGGACAGATAAGCTGGAAGATTATACCATCGAGAGTGATTGTGCATGAATGTATCCCTGTAGGACGACTTAACTCGTGACATACGTCGTAAACATTTTAAAAATAATATTATCATATTATTAAATATTATTTTAATTATCATTTTCTTAATTTTAGTAATCATGATATTAGTAAGGTGTATTTTTTTTTGTAATGTTTTGCATTAGATTTTTGCATCTAAAGTTTAAAATATATTGATACGACAGTTATGTTGCAAACAACATTATTATACATGAGCAAAATAATCATTTGTCTAGAAGTAACTGAAATAAAACTATTTTAAAAATACAAAAAATAAAGAAATGGTCAAGTTTTTCACAACAGCTTATTAGAGTTTAGGGTGGTCTAAATAGACCCTTTGTTTGTTTTCAACAACCTTTTTATACTTCTTTTGAGCGGAAAAATTTTACATTAGTACTACGCGCGTAGAGTAACATGCGTAGCCAATGAAATTATGTCACGACACCCCATGCGATAGGAAAAAAAAATAGTGCAGTAACACGAGAAATATTCCCCCCATGTTATTTATGTGTTATTGTGTGTTATTCATGTGTCATTGTGTCATGACAATATTTCTGATGTTATAATAACACAATAACACATCAGTAACACATGAATAACACACAATAGCACATGAGGGAATATTTCCTGTGTTACTGCGCATTTTTTTCTCTGTCGAGAATATTTTCCTGTGTTATTCTGGTGTTATTGTGTGTTATTCATGTGTTGCTGTGTCATGAGAATATTTTTGGTGTTATAATAACACAGAATAACACATGAAAAACATGAGGGTAATATTCTCCGTGTTATGTAGTGACTTTCAAGCTACTCCACTCTAAGTGCTTGGTAGTAGTGATGTAATAAGCATATCTGCCGCACCTCTCTTCTCCTTTTTCTTCTCTTTTTATTTTTTTCAAATAAGAGATGAATATTACT